TACAGGCTGAGCAGAGAAGAGATTCAGAGCAGCCCTGCGGAGAAGGACTTGGGGGTGTTGGTTGATGAGAAAATGAACATGAGCAGGCAGTGTGCGCTTGAAGCCCAGAAAGCCAACCGTATCCTGGGCTGCATCAAAAGGAGCATGACCAGCAGGCCCCTCTACTCTGCTCTTGTGAGACCTCACCTGGAATATTGTGTGCAGTTCTGGTGTCCTCAACATAAAAAGGACATGGAATTGTTGGAACAAGTCCAGAGAAGGGTCACGAGGATGATCAGGGGACTGGAGCACTTCCCATATGAAGACAGGCTGAGAAAGTTGGGGCTGTTCAGCCTGGAGAAGACAAGGCTGCGTGGAGACCTCCTAGCAGCCTTCCAGTATCTGAAGGGGGCCTACAAGGATGCTGGGGAGGGACTCTTCATTAGAGACTGTAGTGCTAGGACAAGGGGTAACGGATTAAAACTTAAACAGGGGAAGTTTAGATTGGATATAAGAAGGAAATTCTTTCCTGTTAGAGTGGTGAGGCACTGGAATGGGTTGCCCAGGGAGGTTGTGAATGCTCCATCCCTGGCAGTGTTCAAGGCCAGGTTGGACGAGGCCTTGGGTGATATGGTTTAGTGTGAGGTGTCCCTGCCCCTGGCAGGGGGATTGGAGCTAGATGATCTTAAGGTCCTTTCCAACCATAACTATTCTCTGATTCTGTAATACATCAGTACATTTCTCTTAAAATAGTTTTACGATATTTCAAACTTTGCGTGCATGAGAATAGAATGTCTTGAGAAGCCTTTTCTTTCCCTCCTCTCTCCAGATCCCTGTATCCCCTATCCCCCTTCTCAGTGCTTCACCACTTCCATTCACAGAACAGCAGGAGGGAGAAACAAATAGAAAATCTTGTTCTGCTTTTCCTTTTAGCATATTCAATACTTGACCCAAGAAATCAGGAAGCAATTAAAATCTTCTGTTTCAACTTCCCATCCTGTTCAAATCCTTACTCTAATTTTGTTTGTCTGAAACTTCGCTCTTTTAAAAGCTTGCCAGTGTGTGTGAATGTGTGTGTGTGTGCTTACAGACATATGTATGCCCTTGTTCTTTCAGTCAAGTGTTATTACAAAATGTCTTTTCATTTCTAAGAGGGTTCAGTCATCTTTGTAGTATACACGTCCTTTAACAAAATTCTCAACTTAATGCTTTTCAAAATGTCTCTAATGATTTCTAATTTACTGACATTTTCCCTGAGCCCCTCATCAATTTAACTATTCAAATTGCTAACACTGTTAATAATTCCTCTATCTCCAGCAGACCCACTGCAGACCTTGAAATCCCTCTGCTGCCTCTGCAGACAAGAACACATCTGGTTTTGCATCCATACCATGCTGGATCAGAGTATTTATTAGCCTGGCAGCAGTGTCTCATCACCATGCAGTATGATGATTAACGGCTTCATTTTCACCATTGCTATCCAGAAGGGCCTCTCATGGGCCCATTTCCTCCCCTCATTTCTACCTTACAGTGGTGTAATTCTACTTATTTCAGCACATAGAGAACAGCATGAGCACAGGGGTCTGTCTTTCTAGGGGGCTGTGGGGAAGATTTTGAGGAACATTTGGAGCTGCATGCCAAATTGCCTTCCCTGCCTTTGAAACAGTCCAGATGTCTGCATTTCAGGGGAGATTTGAAGGGGAAGCAGATGCAGGCTGACCTGTCTTCAGACAAAAGTTCAAATTTTCAAAATGGCCCAGGGCATCATGCTCTGCTGGGACTTTAGGGCTGAAGATACTGAAACAAGCCAGGCATGAGTTTGCTGCATATCAGCTGAACTTTGCTAATTGCTCCTACCCTGTAGTATATAAAAAGCATTTGGAAATGTCTTATCAAAGTCAGTTCAGCCTTTGGAATGTTTTGCATTTCTGCTTTCTAGACACAGCTCCCACTCTGAGGTAGCTTGTTGAGTGGCTTACCTCAAAATTTCCTGGACAGAAGTGCTTGTATCTATGGTGGTACACATGCAGCTACCAAGTGATGTGACAGGTTCCTAAAAGAGGCTCTCCTTCTTCTACATGCAGAACAAATTGCCGAACTGCCTCTGCTGATGCTGCAACAGTCAATGAAACTAACCAAACAAACTCAGACAGGGACTGGATGGTCTGCAGCAGACAGCCAGGAGAGTGGTTGTAAAGAAGCAGGGCTTCAGGAGAGAATCCCTTCAGAAGTGCTGCCCAGTAATTAGGGCATGAGGAACTTCAGGTAAAGATTTCTAGAGTCTATTTCTTAACCACAAACTTCCTCTTAACCAAGTTACTTAAACCTTGTGTGTCTTGGTTTCCTTGCTTGTGAATTTGCAGTTCAGATACCCATTTTGGGGTTATATAATTGGCTTCTGCTCACAAAATTCTTTGTGATACTACAAAGGATGTTACTGGCTATGTGCAAGGTGTGTTTTTTGAAGAGCATATGTGAGTTTTTAGTCTGTCTTGATAGCTGTGCATTCTGGAAAACTGGAGTAATAAAAATTTCCCAGCAGCTTGAATGGGTGGTCTCAATACCTCTAGAGTTATGGATAACTGTGAAAAGTTCTTCACAGAAAGCAAAAGTCTGACTCTCTGAATAGTGTTTTCGCCTTGAAAAACAATTTTGCTTTTGTGGAAAACAAGGTTAGAAACAAATAGGAAAATAATGGCAGAATTAAGTTTCATATTTTCACTCAAGTAGCTTTCTGAGGAAGACAAAAACCATCATTTTGTAGCCCTGATGACTTCCTATGTAGACTCCAAAGTTCATAAGGAAGCTCTAAAATCCCTATGTGGAACTAAATTAATCCATTCCCATGTAACACTTTTGAATTGTATTATATAGGAGGAATTGGAGCAGAATCTGGTCCTCAATCAGATATTTTATGAAAATATGCAGACACAAATTAAGAACTTCAGGCCTAGATCAAAATCTAAAAGTCACCAAGCAAAAAAAAAAAAACAAAAAACAAAGTAAAAGCAGCCACACCTTCAACATCTGATAAACAGGGCTTTGAGCTGTGAGGAACTGCTAGTTCTGAGATAAAAGTGTCACTGAGAATCCTGATGTATAACTTCTTTGCAAGGCCAGCCCTATCAATGGGGCTAGCAAGTGCAGCAAAACATTAGGGCCTGCTAATTGTCCGCTGAAGATGTATAGGTAATGCCATACTGGAGATTTGCTGCTTGCCTGGGACAACAAAGCCCTTAGAGCTGCCAGCCCTTCTTCTCTGCATCTTTCAGTCTGAAATGCTGCTGACTCTCTATTGCTGAGAGGATCTGTTTTCCCATACGTATTAATTTGCAATATTAAAAATAGCTCCTGCATGCCGAAAGACTGAGTGAAGAGGGAGGTATTCTTCTCTTTTATTCCATCATCTCTGGAGATTCCCCATAGCCGCAATGCCTTTTCAAACAAGCTCAGAGCAACAAGTTTTAACATTAGTTAGAAACTTATCCTCACAATACAAGGAAGCAGGCAAAGAAGGTTTTGTCTCCACTGGGTGCAAGCTACTCCATAGAAGGGGCAAATCAACTTACTTCTCTAGGAAACAAAGAGGAGATTGTCTGGTGTTCAGAAATCAGGCCATAATGCATAAAGACATTTAGGTGATTGAGTCGAACAAGCTCCCAAATGCCTTTGTGGATCTTAGTGCATATGTATGTATATGCTATATGGCTTTTTTTAGTCCTATATAAAAAGCTATATAGCTTTTCTTAGTCTTAGGAAGAGAAGGCAGAGAGATCTTATGGCTATCTGCAACAACCTAATTGGAGGGTATAAAGAAGAAATGCCCCAAAGGAGAGAGGAACATTAGGTTACTAACTTCCAGACACTCGAGGTGTATCTAAAAGATGACTGTACCTCTGTCTTCCTTTTTCTGACATCCATTCCTTGCAGACACAGGGAAAGCACTCATTAATCTTCCTCCATTTGTTTTCTATATTTCTGGAGAATTTTAAATTGACAATTTGGCCTTTTTGACCAGCTCACTTTCCCTTGCAGGGAATTTTCTCAGTTCTTTTTTACCTTTGAGACCTTGTACACTCAAGCTATATGCAACATCTACTTTACATTACATTCAGCTCAACTGATTTGGCATTTCAGGCTTCACAGCTCCTTGCCCATATCTTGACTCAGAAGACCCAGCCTTAAAACACAGTCCTCTATATTATGACTGCAAGCAGGAATTACCTATGCCTTTTTTATTCTGCTTCTGCTCTATCTCTGGATCAGCTTAGTTTCTTGTCCTCATTGTCTTCATACCCCTTAAAACACCTTTTTTTTCTGTCTGTAAAAAAAAGGACTAATAAGAATGACTTTAAAAAGTGGACTCCACCTTGATAGTAACAATCAGAAGCATCCTTGTCATGATTAAGCATCCTGAGTCATAAACGTGCTGCTACCTGCACATGCCAGAGAAATAACTAACAAATACAGTGTAAGATTCTGTAGGATATGTCTCCCTTACAGACCACTCTGCTGATATGAAACATCATTGTGTGAACTTCCAGGGAAAGAACACTGGTTTTGTTGCATATGGCAGAAGTAACAATGGGGACTCTCAGTTTAACAAGCCCAGTCTACACAGGAAAAGAAAATAATTCTAAATTAACATAACTAATTAGCAGCCTTAGATAATGTAATTGCCATGCAGAACTTCACAGTTTTATTTAGCATCATGTATTAACTACTATGTAATTATTAAGGCACCACACTCAGCACCAGCAACTTAATTATCATTAGTATTGCGCCAGTCTCAAGCTTGAATGCTGACACAATTATTTATACTGTGATTGTGTCATTTTAATTAAATTGAAAAAGCACTTTGTTTGCTTTTTGTCACAGTGTTAATTTTTTAAATTAAGGTCAGATCTTTTTGTCAAGCTTTTTTTTTTTAATCTAATTGCAAGTTAGATAGACTGATCGCTTGTCATCCTGAGAAAACATTGTGACTGTTGGTGACAAGTGAATCTTGGGGCAATAAAACAACCTCAGTGGTCTCAAGTTACGCCATCTCAACGCCAATAAACAATACCTTGATATGTTATTTCCATGATTCTTAAGTAACCTCAGTGTATGTAAATCCCATTTAATTTTCTTTCAGAATTAGTCTCTGCAAGGGTCGGTTTGTTATTACATTATGAGGATGCTTAGTAGGCTCTGTTGAAAACAAAGAATTTACAGACCAACAAGACCAAAGGTGAAAGGTAAAGTGTAGGCTTACCAATGTAAAATTATCTGCTCATTGTCACCTAATACGTTGCTGCCACAGCCAGGAACATAGTCAAGGCCTCCCAGCTCTTATTTCTGTGTTCTGCCTGCTAGATCACATCGCCCCTCATGTTAGTAAGTTGAGAAATGCCAAATGTGTGGTGAGGCAGAGCCTTAGTCCCTATTTTCATAACAGGGTTCCTGGCCTTAGTAATAATTAAAGCTTTTTTAATGCATTTTTGTAACTCCTCTGACTTCAGGTGATTTCTTTTTTATTTACACAAGATGGATCAGGCCCAGGATTAATAGCTTTCCTCAGAGTGCTTGAGCACAGCAATATTTGCTTATCACAGTATCACAGTATGCTAGAGATTGGAAGGGACCTCGAAAGATCATCTGTAGAGGAGGAATGATTTCCCTGCCATTACCCAGGTAAATTTACTATGAATTTGCAGCAAGTTCTGCCCCAGTTTTCACCCTCTGAGAGACTCTCAGTGCTAGCCATTAGAAACTTTATAGGTAAGCTTCAGTTTCTTTTTGTATAGCCAGAATTTAACTTAACTCAAAATGTCAGTGTGTTTGCCTTGAGGGAGAATAGAAAGGAGAATTATCTAGTCCATTTCAGGGATTAGTCTTACTTGTGCTTTCTTTATTGCTATATCTTCCAAGTTACAGGGCTGGAAGCCCAGAGGTTAAATGGATGAACGCTGGATCAAAAGCAAGGTTTTTAGGAGCACAGTGAGCGAGGATTTGTCAGGTGGACTGACTGAAAGCCATGACAGACAGAAAATGAATACTGGAAAAGATCCAAAGGGGGAAAAATATCTGTCAGTTCAGGAAAGAAACAGGTTATGGAAAGGAGGCTGCTTTGCGCTGGGCTGCTTAAAACAAAAGCAAGGAATTACCAGACTTTGGAAGCTGAAGGAAGCAAACATGGAAGCTAAGAAGAGGGAAGAGAAGAAAATGTCATCATTGCAGTGCCACTTAAATATGATCTACATGTCTGAACAACAGTGAAATGACTGACTGCCAAGAAAGGGGAAACCAATTGCCTGTCCATAGAGACAATACAGATATCTCTGGAGCTGTATGTTAAACTTGTGATGAAACAAACAGGTAAAGAAGCTTTCAGTCTATAAAGAAGAAAAGTCTGTTTGTCATGCAGATTTGTAAGCGTGTGCATCATTTCTAGCTTTTAGAGAGGTCTAGTAAAAAAGACTAATGCCCAAATCTTTTATCCATATGGGATGAGAGTAGGTCAGTAAGGTATAAAGGAAAACCATCACAAAACCTGATGTTAAAGCAGATCAACAGGTAACAGGAAAGATGAGTCTTTTGTGAGAAAACTAATACTAGCTTTCCCATCCACTTTCAAATTCCCCTTTTTACACTGGAAAAATCCTCCTTTTTAAAGATGCAATTAGCAATAATTGTAGGGCTGGATGTTCTTGTCATTCGATTCTTCTGCTGCTGTAACTTCTGTGAAGCTGCTAGGGATTTATATACGCAAAAGAAGAATCACAAAGCCCCCTACTCTAGGGATCACTTGCCTATTGTTTTTGTTGCAGATCTCTTAATCTCTGGAGATTATTCTTCAGTTACTTAAGCACTGGCTGAATTTCAAGACATTGTAATAATGAGCAGGGTGAGGATGGGGGATTTCCAAGCATCAAAAGAAGCATTTTCATTTTGTCCTGAAGCAGACATATAAAGTTAGGGATGGCAGCTTGATTCCTGAAGCTATTGGAGGCTTTAGGAATGACAGTACTTGCCAATTTAGTGAGGAGATAACAGAGCTGATTTACACCAGCTAAAGACAGGGCTAGATTCTCTAGCGCTGCACAAACATCACAGAAGTGTCCTATATGATGGCCTCATTAGCTTGGAAAGATGTCAGCTGAATTCTACTGCTTAGATAAAACAAAAGGATGCTAAAGTTTTTCTCAGTCAGATTTATTATCAGTATTCTCATCTGTATCTGGTGAAAAGAGTGTGACCCTCTCTTACAGAGGTAATCCCTGACAGAGTAATCCTTATTTCTATCACTTTAAGATTACTTAGCTGTATTACACTTTTATCTTAATGCCCCTGGGAAACTCAAGCTGAAGAACAATTCTATGACCAATTTTCAAAGCAGCATCATGACAAAAATATTATTACACCAATATTTCTGGGTCTATAGCAGCTGCCACTGAGTTTCTAAATAGAGTTAAAAATACTAGGATCAACCAGTAAATCTCTAAATTTATGGGATATGGTTACCAGAGGGACTGCCTCTTGATTCCTTTGCAAATGTCCTGGCTGAGATTTCTAGGGGTGCTTCAGTGGGAATTCTGGACTATAAATCAAAGAGTTCACAGAGAGAATGCTTTTCACAAGAATGGGGTAAGGGCTGGAGATACTTGGATGAAATCTGTATTTTGTAAAAAAAAGAAAGGAATTGATTACAATTTTACAACAAATTACATATATATGTAGTTCATAGGGTAGGAATAAACAGCAGGGCATGTGTCTTCTCTGCACAGGTGCTTTTATGAACTTACATCCATTTAATTACTCCTATGTACTATATGCTTTTGGTGCAAGAGGCAAGTGATTTTCTGGTGCAAAGCACTGTCACCTGGAAAATTCCTCTTTAGTTTCAGTGGCTTTAGATCAGACTTATTAAAAGGAACAGCCATAGCAAAACCCTTAAAAGAAATCCAAGATACTTAAATGTTGACAACTGCTCTACAGAGTAATAATTTGTTCATAAAGCACACAGAGTTCCAGAAGTATGATCTCCATGCAATGAATCAGATAAATCTTGACTGTTTTGCATAATTGTTCAATATTTTTCTATTACTTTCATCTTAAAACTTTTTATTATGACTACTTGCACCTCCACATGTTGTCTTTCATGTATTGTTTGGGATGTAATACACTTCTCATTTTTTAAAACTATAAAAAAAAAACCAAAACAACCAGAAGAAAATAAAACCAAAACTAATTTATTCCATTACATGGTTGAGCATATTCATCTTTCATTTCACAGTGTTTCTTCAGAAGAAGGAGCACTGCAAAGGTCTCAAGATCCATGTTTCATTAAACAGTAACTAGAAACACAATCATACATAAATGCATGAAATAGTAAGCCACATCTCACTTGAGTATAAACAATATTGGGTTTCATGTAAGCCATGATAAATCAGAGAAGTACACACAGCCCTATGGTTTTTTATGCTCAATTGCTTTTGCCACAGTTCCTTCACCAGTTCTTTGTAGGCGAATTCATAGGGAAAACAGAAAAGAAAATGAGCATCCCTGACCCTCCACCTTTACATTAGTTTACTTGTTTCTTTAATTAGGTTCAACTTTCGTTTATTTCAGTTAGATCTTTCCTAGTTTTCACTGACTTACGGTTTCTATTGTCTTGGCAACAGAGCAGTCCTGCTCCATCTCTCTTTTTCAGTTAGCCATAGAGAGCATTAATACCAGCCATTGTCTTCCTGTGCATTTATTAGTCCTCAGAGGGCGTGATGGAAGTCAGAAGTCGAGTATTCCTGGGCCAGGGTCTCACTGTCAGCACAGACCTAAATGAAACATAAACCAATGCATCTGTTTCAAAGCATATTGTACATCAATCCAAGTAGATATTTGGCCCCTTTTGGCAATGTAGCTATTGGATAGCATTTTAAATAACTGAGCAGTTAAGCAGTCTGGTTTTAGTAACTTTAATAAGTAATCCCTCTGGGCTCATTACAGCTAAAACCCAATTCTTGTACTCTATTTACGTATGCCAGTTTGAATTTCATGGCTGTTTCTTGGTTCCACATGATATTTCCCCATTTGTTGTCAAGGCTGGGAGGTGGGTAGCAAATGGAGCTGGAAATGTTAAGAAGCGGACAGGATAGGCTCATGCTTAAGGTAAACATTGATACTCTGGGATTGTATTCTTTCGCTGCTACTGTGATAGACCTTGGATGACATACTGCAAGATAAGAAGTCAGATATTTGACATGAGTTCATTAATTGCTTCCTACTCCATAAGTATCTGATCAAATGTGTTAAGAATTTGCAGCTAAAATTAGCATCAATGAGAACTATTTAATTTATAATGTCTAACACAAAGTGAATAAACAAGTTGCATCTAAATCACTTTGTCTCAATTTCCATCTGGAAAATGGGACTAAAAACAGCTAATCTAAGGAGAATGTTGTTGGAGAAGGCAAGTGTGAAGTATTGGCATATTACAGTGATGACTACTGTAGGAAAACCAACGGGAAAATTAATAATTGCTTTTTTTACAAGGATTTGATAAATATTAAGTAAATAAGCAAACTCTGCTAATCAAACAGTAGCAAAGATAATGAAATTAATTTTTGTTAGCTAAAGTTAAACACTCTTGAACTAAAATTGGTATAGCCACCCCAAAAAAAACCTAAAATCCTGACATAAGATTGTGTTGCAATACAATCAGCTTAAACTGGGGAACTTCCCAACTTTAAAGCTGCCTGGCTTTGTAACCTTAGTGATGAAGCTATTGTTATTAATATGAAAAACAGCAAACCCACTGCTGAATACAGTTCTGAAACATTGCTTTTTTTAAATGAAAAACTTATCAGCCTCTATGCAGTATGTAATAAGACTCCATGCATCATCCCCAAACTTATATAAGCTCTGAGTGAATTTTCTGATAACTTACAAGTAAATCCATTAAGTAGATTAAGTTAAATTAATTAAAACCAGTATCTTACCAGAGATCTGTCATCTGTGATGGCACTTTTGAATTGGGCTTGAATGATCTTCCTGACAAATAACACAGATATATCCAACTTTTTTGATAGTAAAAAACTATCAAAATCCCCTCTTTGAAGGGAGGCAAGCAATTGTTATGATTATTTAGGTTAGTAACAAGCTTGAGTCTAGTTAGCATGTGTCAGCATTTGCAGAGATCAAGCAAAGGAAAATGAAGAAGGGGTCTGAATATCTTTGTCTGAACAGGGAAAAGCAACTCTAAAACTGCTAGCTGGCGTGAAGACTCATGAGAGTAATGAACTGGCAGTTTAAATGATGATTAAGTTGAACAGTGTCTGCCAGGAGGACACAGAAAGCTCTGTCACCAGGGCAGAAAAACAAAACTACAGTTTAAGAGACTAACAGCTCCTCGTACCAATATCCTCATATGTTCTATATTCCCAGAAGACTTGGGAGCAATGCAGGTTTCCTCAGAGCACACTGAAGGAGCAAAAGCCTAGGTTAAGCACTGTGTCTGATTTGAATGTCCCAAGAGTGACATCTAAGTAGTGTCCTTGTCTGGAAATTGTTCTAAGAAGCACTCCAGCTGCTTAATTCTAAGCTTGCACTTAAATGCATGACTGAAATTCTGCCTGTGACTCTCTGGATTGTAACCACTTTCTCATTGTCAATATTTTGTCTAACTTTGCCCTTCTTAGGCTGTTGCTCCTTAAGGTGCCTTTAGACAAGAACATGGTGAAGGTGATATTCTTCCTAGAAAGACCAAGGGGCTCCAGTTTGCTTTATGTATTTCCTGCTTTCTCTTCACTCTTTCCATAGTGCATCTTCCATCTGTAAATCTTTGCAAAGACTCTGCTCACTCTGTCTCATGTCCTTGTGGCTAAATTGCTGTGTTGAGCAAAAAGATGGACCATACCTCATTCCCTAATGCTGCAGAGATCCCATTGCCAGATCTGAGAGGCTGTAGAAAAAGTACTTTGTTCACATGTTGGGGATCCAAATAACACTTCATTATTTGCAGTCTATCTCTTTCATGGACACCCTCTTGTCATGGTGAAAGAGCTTGCGTGCCCTTGTGAGGTTGAGAGCTATGCTGGTGGTGGCATATGCCTCCGGTAGGGTCTCCCATGCCAGACAGGTCTCAACTGAAGGGTCAGACAAAGTGTGTCCATGGGCAGGATGGGCTCACTAGCCTTCGGGCAACCATCCTAGGAGAAGGACAGCTACAACTTCAAACCCGGGCAGATGAAGTTTGTTTAGCCTTGTAAGGCCATCCATCTAAGAGAAGGATACTCTAACCAAACGACCTAAGGACTTTGCTGTCACCATCCAAGCTTGCTAGGCCCTGGCAGATAAACCTCAGGTGTAAAGGGTGGGGCCAGTTCTGTGCATGCTGTGCCTCACCTAAAAAATCCACTGCGTAGGCCCGAAGGGTTTACTCATCAGCATGCTTGTAGTAAGCATGTGTAAAGCCCTTCCCAAATCTTCGTTCGCAAAGTCAAGCCGTCATTTGGAGTCTCGCCACAAGCGATGGTGGGGTATGAGAGCTTTATTGACAGGCAGCTGGCACTAGAAGAGAACGACAGTATCCCTGTATGTCAGTTTGACTCCCACAGAGAGAAGCCACTTTGATACCAGTTTACAGACTGGAGCTGAATGTACAGTTTTTTCATGCAGCAAAACCAGAGGCCTCGGTACTTGCCTCCTTTCTGTCTTTGGAAATCAGTGGGAATACAGAGCTGTAACTCTAAATTACTAATGAAGTGAGATGGATATTTTTACAGATGAGTTCTAACCCACAAGGTAAGTCAAAATTCTTATAAATGGGAACAGTTGCTGCATCAGTTCATGGGGATGTACGGTTTAATTCCTCAATTTGTACACAAACACTAAATCAATAGGATTCCTGTGTATCCAAAACTCACTCAAATCAATTATCTCTACTGGGTGTTAGATTAGACTATTCCTGTGAGACAGATTGTGTGTATGTTGACTGAAACAAAAACCATGGATACTATGAAATGTACTTTGAAATTGAAGATATCACATAACTGAAGAATAAGTTTACGTTAAAAAAAAAACAAGCTTATTAAAAGAATTGTCATTAGCACTGTATTGATAAAGATAACCTTTTCCATTTGACTGGCATCTGTCCACTTATGCTTGCATTGCTATTCTATCTGTTCCTAAATCATGTTGATTTCTATATTTATTCACATGTCTAAAAGATGACGTGAACAACTGGCGATGAAGGACAGGTGACTATTGTCAAGGCAACTGAAGGCAACTGATTCATTAGCTACCCCAATTTGCCTCTCTTTGTGTCCTTTTAAGTATTCCATCCTCACTGAACTTAAACTCCCATAAAGCAACACCACCATCTACAGCTCAAAGATCAGACTCTCCACCATAATTGCACCTCTCTGTCCTGAGCTCAAGCTATGTCAGATGTAAGAGTACCAGATTTCTTCTGTTGAAAATATTCAATATCACTTTAATTTTCATTATCCAAAATTAGAGGTTGGTTTAAAAACAGAAACAAACAAACAAAAACCAAACAAAGAAAATGAAACACTTCAATGCAACTTGTTTAAAAGAAAGATTCTTCTCTGCGTCTTCATCCTGCACTCTGACTTCTGCAGTACAGTACTACCCATGATAACATAGAATTACAGAAGAGATAGGATTGGAAAGGACAATGAGATCACATAGTTCCAACCCCCCTGCCCCGAGCAGGGACATCTCCCACTAGACCAGGTTCCTCAAGGTCCCGTCTAACCCGGCTTTGAACACTTCCAGGGATGGGGCATCCAAAACTTTTCTGAGCAACCGGTTCCAGTGTCTCACCACCCTCAGAAAAGCACTATCAGAAAGACATGAAATGCCTTTCTGTGGTGCATAGTAAGCAGAAAGTTTTAGTTCCAGGGCAATGCAAATTCCTCAGAAATTGGTGCTTCTGTATTTCAGTGGAAAAAAAAACCACCTTTGTTGGAAGTTGTAACTCATTAGGTGCATGTTACTGGGAGAGACTTCTTTTTCTACTACTAGGAACAGAAACCACAGAATAAAGATTGTTTTACCACTATCATTTTCCAGTGATTATTTCTTACTTTTTTTTTGTGCCATGTTGCCAACCACACTGTGGCTTTGGCAGGCTAAAAGGGATACCTCCTCTCAGTTTCACAAAGGTAGTTACCAGGCTGCATTGCACAGCTGAGGGAACTATGGTCTCCACAGTGGCAGTGATAAAGCTAAAATCTTGTTACTTGCAGATAATAGGAGGTGAAGGGAAGTGAGAGACTCCACAAATGCAATTCTGTCCCACAGCCTTTACCCCTGCCTCCCCAAAGTAGTAAAGCCAATTTGTTGGTGGCTTTTGACTCCTTGTCTGCCCTAGAAGGCTCTGTTAGTGCTTTTTGTACAAGTCTAATCTGGGAGACACAAAAGCTTCAATATAGAAAAGGCCAGTGATTACCTGAATTTACTGTCTGTAACCCTGGCTGTGCCTATTTATGCACCATGTTTTCTATTGTCACCAGATGTACAGTTATGCAGAATAACGCATACAAATTGTTCTTAAGATGAAATCCTAAGTCACTCAAGTTGCTGCTTCTAGCTTTCAGCACCAAGATGATAGTTTATAGCTTTGGCATTAGTCCAGTCAAGAAAGCTCTGTTCAAGTCTTCTGTAGTGTGTTTTCACATGATTATTGAATTCATGATCAAAGGGGGCTTAAATGTTCTGTTTAAGTATTTCAGGGAACTGCAGGTAATAGCCATTTAAATTAAAAAGAAAAAAAAAAGGCAAAAAATAAACAACCCAAAAACAGACACCCAAAACCCCCCAAAAAAACAAATGTGTGTCAATTTACTTTGCTTAAATAGAAAACTAAAGGTCCACTGGACAAGGGAGTTCCTTTTAGTGGAAAGCCACAGGAAACTTAATAAGATTTCACTTCAAACAATATAATCCATGAGGTCTGTGGTACCTGATACTAATTTACACTAGATAAAAATCTGAGTTTGTTTGTTTATACTTCTAGACACCTACAATATTCATGCCATGCTATATTACACTACAACTTAAAGGAGCTAGAACTGATAATAGAAAATGACTGTGTACACTGAAAAGTGATTGACAATAAGTTGTGATTAGATGCAGCCATAGGGATCTGTTGTGCAAATACCTAAGCAATCAACAGAGAAGACTCAGAAGAATTGTGAAGATGCCATTCACAGAGAATTCATTCTCTAAGGAGCCACAGATGTCAGCAAAGAGAACTTAGTGGCCTGGTTTAGCATTCTGGTTATTACCAGTAACTGCAGTGTACCCAACCTTCAGGCTAGGAGGACCCCAGTCTTGTCAGAAAAAAATAATTTTTGGGGTGGATCTCGACAGTGTTAACTGCAAAACCTGACTGCAGTCTGAGATAAGGACTCCCGCCCCAAGCTGTCTTCAGTAGGACTTTTAAATTTGCCACTTTGACCACTAGAGGGTAGTAACATACATTTGCACTAGGTGCCTTATGAACAAGAGAATGGAGTAAGACGTGAAAGATGATAAAAGGAAAATCTGGTGTACAGAGAGGTGTCAGACCTCACCAAAGTGTGTGTTGTGCCCTTCATACATGTGTCACTGTATCGGCAATCATTCACTACTGTGAATCTATGAGATCAAGAACTATGGGCCAGCTAGGAGATCCATCTGTGAAATTCCATGTTTGAAGTTAGTCATATGCATACTTGTTTTCAGGATGTCGCCTTAGACAATAGAGAACAGAAAGTAACATGCTACATTATTTTCCATAGTTGTATGGGTAGCTGGGAATAGCTTAAATGCATTGTACATTACTGATGCTGGCATGATTTCTGTGTGAGAGGGCAAGAAATTTTTGACTTGTAATTATCCAAATCTTTAAAGGTGGGGTGGAAATTTTCTTAAGTGATCTTGGTATTCAAACGTCTGACTTGGGTTCACACAGAACTGACTTGCTGTCAAAAAGTTAGCCATGAGTCTGCCATATAAACAGGTACATTTTGCAGAAGTATCTCTCAAACAGTAGGATTCAGTACAGTTAGTTCATAAACCTGAATCTTTTCCTGTCTTTAAGTCTCTTATTCTCATCTGTCTTACTCTGTGTCCTGATCCTGTTTATGCTACCTAGAGCTCTATCTAGAGCACCTATGAGTGACAAGTATCTTCAACTGTTATTACTCATAGCACAATTTTTGCCACAATGGGAACAAGAACAGCATCTTAACCCCTTTGGTTTTCAACTTTTCATGATTCTGTGTTTTACAAGCAAAATTGTTTCTACTTGTCTCCTTTGAGATAGTCAGCTTGATTTCACATCATCAATAGTCAGATGGACCTCATGGCACATACAAAGCTGCTAAGCTTTAGCAGAAAGTATTTTGGTTTGGGGTTTTTTCTTGGTTTTGAGTGTCCAAAGATTTCACAAGCTTTGGCAAGAAACAGAGAACAAAAGCTGCCCTGTGGCTTTGGAACTGAGACTCTAAACTTGTTTTCAAGCCCGTTTCAGTTGTACACTTCTCAAATGATGCTGGGTAAATTATTTTATCTCCCTGTAGTACACATCTGTTTTTGTGAACTGGGGAGAGTCATTGCTGGGAGAGGGCTTGCCACATACTTATGTCTGACCAGTACTTCTTAAAATACAGCTCTTACTAAGGTTTGGACCTCTACATCAAATTATAACATAAAATCTAATAATCTGTAAATGCTGACACGAACAATGCAAATGAAGCAGGAATCCCCCTTTTCAGAAATGTTTTTTTCCACCAGAATGGAAATAGTGTTAAGAGCAGGTCTTGACTTTACCACCACTGATGTTTATTTACTTGATACATTTTAAAAAAGTGTATTTATACCTGCTCAGGGCCTGCTCTGGAGACTTTTTAGAGACATATGACGCTATTTCCATTTAAGTTCATTACAGTTAGTTTGCTTACTTCTACAATTCCAGCTCAGGCCTATTTCATTAGTAATTCTTTCCATGTGAGTTGTGTGTTGTTCATTTTAGGTATATTTTGTTTTTCTTAACATGATAAATGGAAAAAACAATGAAATACCTCTTCTGTGGCCTCTCTCATCCTGTGCCTTGCAAGTTCTGGGACTGCTAATGACAGTCTCTGTGATTTATCTGCTGGGGTGATGTTGTTCTGACCTGCAATAACAAGGTACATCATTGTTGGCTTGCATGTTATAAAAATGATGCACAATACATCTAAAAGTTAGAATAATACTTTGATGCAGCTCTTTGTCAGTCCTACAAATGGTTGCAGTTAATCGATGCTATAAAACTTTCCTTCAGGCACTGGTATTCAGCGTTCACACTAGGAAATGGAGTTTGATTCTGACATTTTAAACACCGGCGGTGTTACCTAATGAAATAACTTGGGGTTTGAAAATTCCCATCAGTAAAAGAGCACAAAACTACTGTTGAGTTAGGGTATTTAAAAACATCTTTTGAGCACTGGGAGAAGATGATACATTGGACAGACACTATTATTTTGCTACTCTTTTCCTGCAGACACTTTTAACTTGACCAGGGGTCTACTGTCCCATTGGTGCATCCATGCAGTTTCATCACCATTAACGGAAGCTACGTGCATGAGCTGATGAAGGCATACACGGAGTTCAAAATACTTCTTTTGTTTATTAAAAAGTGTCATACAAGTCTTGTGAGAGAAGTGCCATAACAAACACTGTAGATTTAGCAAACATTTCAGGATTTCTGCAGGATACATTTTTTCATTTTGTATTTTAAAGATTTGCCATTATGAAATCAACTAGCTCCATCTCAAAGGGCTGTGCGAAGAAAAGAGACAGAGGAGAGGAAAGTCGCCCAGCTGATGACAAACTGTGGAAATTCCACTGGCTTTTATCTTATGTTTTGATAGTGGATTACAGGATAGATATTTTCTTACATGTAAGTGTATAAAGAATAAAGATGGCATTCTGAATTTTGGTCTTTATGAAGCCCTCAAAATGACAGCCTATCTACTGTGCCCATTTTCTTAGGATTTCCTGAAATTCTGGACACTAAAAAAAAAAAAAGAATGACAGTTAGTAAAGATGTAAAAAGATCATTGTGGAAAAGGCTGAGAAAAATAAAACCCTTCTGGGAATCACTTCTTATAGTACACTCTGTACTGCATCCGAGGCAAGCCCATGCCTAGAGGGCACAATCTATCCTTAAGTGTATGTGACCTACTAACCACAGTGAAAAAAAAAGACCAGGTGATCTGATTTACTGCTGTTCCAAGAGAATAACTTTTCCTTGGCAGGAGAAATCTGAAGAAGGCACTCATACTAATGTGTGCACTGCTACTCCCATAGGAACAACAGACCATTCTTCAGAGCCACAGAGCAAAACTGCTGAAAGGTCAGCGCAAACTGACCATGTTAAAAAAAAAGATGATCCTTCAGTCCTGCTGTTAGAGTGTTTGTTGTTCTCATTTCTAGGCAGGTAGAAAAACCCAACATGCAAAGAATATATTTCTGCTACAACATCTCAAGAATCTCAGACTTTTCAAGGCTCTCCAAGTATATCATAAAGAGCTGGATAGAATATTTTCTGAAAAGGAACGAAAAAAAGAAAATGAAGCTAAGGGCAATAACTGGATTTCAGACATCTCAACTTTGGGCTGCAAACTTTTAGCTAATTAAAATAGGACCATTGTTTAAAAGGGCAGGGCACTTTTTGGTAACTGGGCCTCTGCCAGCGGAATGGCGAGTATCTGTGACACATAAACTCATGGCAACTGTTGGTCAGAGTGACTTGCCCAAGCTCATGCAGTTTATCAAAAGCAAAACCTGTGTAACGGGCAGAGTCCTATTTTCCAAAGTTTGTTTACTCCTCAGGTTTGTAACAGTTTCTTCCTGTTTCAGCTGAATCATTTAATCTGTACAATGCTGTAGTTCATTTCAGCTTTCTATAACACCAGCAAGTGGGGATTTAAAAAGCACTTTGCTGTTCACCTTTCGGTCATCCTCATAACTTTCATCTGCATATTTTATTTTGCTAGAGGCTTTCCCAACAGAATTTCCCAACAATGGTGTTTTCTCTGAAAAGATGGATCACCTAGGATAGGAGCTGTGACCTTCTGGTGCTTGAATGGTTCTACAAAAACTTCAGAAACTGCCTTTACTTTAAAAAAAAAAGTCATTAAAAAATAGGTTTTAAAGAATCTGAAATCCCCTCCTACAATTCTTTGCTCTTTTAGCAGGCAGGGAAAGTGCTTTAGGTTTCAGTATTCTGGACTGCCCTGTTCAGTACCTCATGGATTTTGGAGCTGGATTTTTCAGGTTTTCATAAATAATTGCACTTTTGTATTAGCAGTTAGCATAACTCGATTGTCTAAATATTGTTCTAGTATCTAATAATATTGTACTAATATCTAATAAATATTGCATCCAGTGCTCCTACTCTGAATGTGTTTGAGCCTCTTTGTTACTAAGCAGAAAGGCTCTGAAGAAAATCAGTTACTGAGGTATTTCAGGTCATGCTTTTGCTTAGTTTTGGGGGCTTATTTTTCCAAATGAATAAATGATTGGTGCAGTTAGGAAATATATTTTAAGGAAAATTATGTTGTTTTTCCTTTGTGATATAAACCCAGTATTTTGACCCATATAAATGACCACTTGCACCAATTAATAGGTCTAATTATGCAAATCTTCTGAACAGCTTCTTCCTTCTTGTCTGCAACTGGTGGTAGAAGAATCCTGTAGCTGCATTTGATTAACAATATCCTGTTGACCCCTCAATTTTTTCTTCAGTTCTTTACTTTTTTCATCAGATGAAACTCTTCCTATTGCTTCATGCTCAATTCCACTGCCAGGTGTGTTGGCTGTTGCTAAACTACACCTGCTTTGCAGCCTCCATCTGAACCACTGTCCTAAGTCAAGGAACTACTTCATGTGATCTGTCTTCCTTAAAAGTTTATCTTTTGCACTTTCCACTGCTATGTGTGGCAATTTGATGAATAGATACAGATCTGCTCACTGGTGCATAATGGCCTCAAGTTCTTGGCTCCTTTGCTCTATTTGCCTACTGCTTAGCTAGGCACTCTTTTTTATTATTTTTGAGTAATGCCTTTTGTTTTCTGTGAGACTGCTGTGAATACAAAGAACAAAGTCTCACTTTTGCACATCATCAGTCTCTCTGTCTTTTACCACATACTTCAGATAGCGTATTTGTATGGAGCAGAGGACCCTTTATTATTTGCCATTCTAACTCTTTCCTCCAAAATTTTGTGGGAACCTAGGGCTGGATGTCCTTTTCTCAGATTCCCAATGGGTGCTAATCACTACATATCTGTGCACTTTGCTATTTGCCACTATGTGTCAAATGCCAGGTATACTCTATCTTCCAAGCCATGGCCCACCTCCAGATGACAAGTCCAGTCTGAGGGTCATTTCTACAATTCTCCCTGCAGTAGGAATGTCAGGTTTTGTAACCAAGAAACCAAGTGCTTTTTGTAGTTAAAAGACAAATTACCCAGCAGCATAACATATACAACCTTAAGCTGCATGACAAAAGCCCACGAAGGAGCTTAGAGGGGCAATATAACAGGAGGGAGGTACCAAATAATACCCTGAAGGCCTATTCCCAGACCCATCACAAGGGCCATCAACAGAAGCCCACATAAGCACAGGAACTGAAACCAAGGAATCTCCCATCAGCTTTTAGACTAGGGCTCACTGCTTAGGGGTGGGACACATTACAGGATGCAAGGGAAAAACAGTTCTGGATTTCACAGGACTAATTATGGGATGCTTATGTGGAGGAACCAAAGGTGGAGAAAGGGAGAGACGTTTAGGTGATTTGGCAAGGGACAGGAGTGAGAAAATAATAGTAATTTTTTGCAAAAAAATTAGTAGGTAAATAAAAGGGCTGGTTAGATATACATAGTTGGCTAGTCAGAATACATGTGTATCTATGCCCTGCGCCTGAACAGCACAGTCTGTCCTGTGTTCTTATTAAACTCTTTTCTAATTCTTTCCTGGGTGAGGGGTCTCTTTCTGTGTGCATATGTGTATGGGGGTGTGAGTCCAGCAGCTGGAGACATCACAGGCTGAAGAGCCTGTGTGTCTGTGGTGCAGTGACTGATCAAGCATGGGTGTGCGAGTGAGTGTGTGTGTGATCACTAGCAAAGATCAAGTCAGATCGGCTGCTGAAGTGACATCAGAGTAAGGAGATGAGGGAGTTTCTATGGGCTAGCTCCAGATGAGAAAGCATTTATATATCTCCAAAGATGAGAGCACTGGGGAAGCAGGGGGAAGTGGGGTACTGGCCTCACTGGCAGGTGCCAGCAACTGAGCAGACTGGGATGAGGGGGCAGCTACTGCGAAGAGTGACTGTGAGTCATGTTGCAGGAGGTATCCACCTTGTGCATATTCATATATATTCTCATTAATAGACTTCCATTCTGCTCAGACAGAGAGGGAAGCAGGATAAGGCCATCATTGCTTCCTATTCCCATGAGTGCTCTGGGTGTCTGCCTAGGAATTGTGCATCCAGCCATGTATATATGTACTCCATATTTAACTCAAACTGTGCCTCTTAGCTTCCTCTGGTAGATGTTCTTCTGTGGTCTAGAGAATTAATATTTTTACTTGCTAATCCCAGTTTTAAGCTACTTGAAAGCTCTGTAGAGAAATGCAGGGATATTCTAGGATGTCAACTGAATGTTCCAGTAAACCATCTGTGACAAAATTCTAGAAAATTTACTTTATTTAGTGTATTTGACATCATATAACTTCACTGCATATTGTTAGAGTGCCCACAAAACATCCATGATAGCTGCTAATATGTGCTTAACAGTCCTTTCTTTATGATATAGTCCAACAGCTTGTGATCAGGCTGCACATGCATTTTGTGGCAGAAGCTGAATGAAAGGAATTGCTCTACAACAGAAAAGCACAGCCAAAAACTGTGTTTCTGTTTTCACATACCTATTTTTTATGCCTTCACCACGAAATGTTCTGGTCTCTCAGCTCTGCAGTTTCTAGGCTTCCTGAGCAGTCACCTTGCAGCTGGAACCAATACATAGAGCTGCAGGTTTTCAAGAGTGGTACCTCACTCAATTTTCTTTACTTTTTGAGGGTTCTTGAGCACTGATCAATAGATGCTATTTGTCTTCTGAGAAGCATGCATATAATCTGAGGAGATAGCTGGCCACATGTTCTAGTGTCAAATTTTTAAGGGCAGACAGAAACAAGCTCATGGAAAAATAAATCTGTTGAGGACTAAGGCATACACAGAAACAACAATCTGAAAAACAGTTGGGTCCTGAGAGAGTTCTGCAGGGAAGAATAACATACACTTGACCTGGACTTATTCTTCCCTGCATTTGTGTTTACAGGCACTGCTGGAGACACAATATTAGGGTAGATGGACACTTGATCTGACAACACAACACAGACATCCTGTGGTCTCCGGTACCTCAAAGACAGGTCAGTTACTACATATCAATCCTCACCCTGAAATGTCTGACTGCTTTCAAGTTTGGTTTCCATCAAGACCTAGTCAAAAGCTTCACACATTGAACCTATGGAGATGTCTGT